CACTTCCCCTTTTTTTCTTCGTCCTAAAACTACCTTCCCATTAGAAAAAAAGATGACAAATGACATTAATACCCTCATGTATTTACACCAATTATCTTCTAACTCTATATTTTGAATGATTGTAAAAAAAAAAATTCAAAAAATCTTTTTTAAGGAGAGTAAAATTTGAAGTCAAAGCCAAAAATTAAAAATGGGGAAAAGTCAAACTGGGAAGAAAGAATTAGGACGAAGGGAGTAATTAAAAGTCAAAGGTTGAAAACAGTTAACAAAAAAATCAAAACTGGACAAATACTCAAGGACGGAGGTAGTACTAGACTATTAGCACATTATGACCTGTGAGCATTCTAATGAGGTGGTCACTTGGCAGTGGATATTCCCAAAACCTGAACAGTGCACAAGTCATAACCCGCCCACTAAAAAAACAAGTTGTATAAACTGTTGTGAGCTCTGTTAGCTTATTCGCGTATTATACACCCGAACGTATAAAAGGTTTTTCTCAGTTCTACACTTAGGTCTCCCCACTCCCTCGCTACCCTGTTTGTCGTTTTTTCTACTTTCTATTCCTTTTTTTTTTTTCTTTTTATCCCTACTCTGTGTTTAGCATTACATATTTACATGTGATCCTTAACATAAGGAACGATCAACTTTTTTCTAAGAAAAACGTTAACCATATACTCCTTTCCGTATGTCAATTAGATTAAAAAAATTAAAAATATTTTACCAGATAATTCTAATAAAATTTTTCTTGTATCAATATCTATAAACAAATTTTTATTTAATTAACCGTCAAAATTTATCAACTTTCGACTCTAAAATGTCAAAATGGAATAAATACTCATTGTCACCCCATGTTTCCAAACCTTAATTTCTCAAAAAAAAAAAAAAAATCCACCTTAGTGTAATACAAATCCAGGCCTTCTTCTTTGTGGAATCTAGCAAACTGGTAGGGGCCGATCACTATTGACTCTAGCCCCAAATAACTCTTACTCCTTTGTACAAATAAAAGATATGTTTAGTTGCACTGTTATGGATAGTGAAGTATGATATTGAGTATTATTATTATTATGGTTATTATTATTATTATTATTATTATTATTATTATTACTATTATTGTAATTTAGGTTTTATTAGGTGAGCGAAATTATAAGCTCCTTCGAGGTTTCTTTACGGTTCTTTCCCTCGTCGCTTTTATTGAACCGTCAGGTTAGGTTTATGGTTAGATAGGGTTTCCTTATCTCCTATAAATAGAGATGTAACCTCATTTAGAAAATCAATGAATAAACAACTCAAACCCTAATTCCTTCTCCCCTCTCGGTTCGCTGATTCCCTCTTCACCTCAATTCTTCTTCTTCTTCTTCGTCCCATATTCTCAAGAGCTCGAAGACGCTCCGAGTCTTCCCTATCCGATACGGAGTTCGTATCATTGGTGCTCTCATTGATTTGAACTCCAAAAAAAACCAAAAAAAAAACTTTTTTCTTTAGATTTGATCTGTCGGCGGCAAGGATATTTGCTCCAGGATATTTGCTCCTTGAAGATTTACTTCAGATTCAATAAAAGGCTGTAGGCAATCATAAGAATTGAAGAAGAAATTCTGACAAAATCTCAAAAAAGAACAAAAAAGAAGACGAAGAAGAAGCAACTGATCGCCGGCCTGCTGCAATTTGCTTTCTCCATCACGCGACTTAGTTTTCTTCGTTGTTGCAATTTAGCTTTTGGAAGTGACTGCAGCAAATTAGGTAAAGTGAATTGCTTTTGCCGTGGAGGATGACTTTTTAAGCAAATTCATCAAATTGTGCTTAGTGTATTCATTCATAGTCTTGGGCTTTCCGTATTTGTTCTATCAATTTGCTGCTGGAGTTGTACTGCACGCTCTATTCAGATTCTGATCTTTGGATAATTAATTATGATCAAAGATGGTGCTACAACCCCCTCTCTTGATACACTCATGGTTGATAATCTCTTCAATTTAGTGGAAATTGTTTTACGCGGAAAAATTGATTTTGATGAAGGAGTGTGCTTAGTATATGCTCAACATGATGAAATTATTAAGACGCTCTGATCGTTTGCTAATACTGAGGGTCAATTAAATTATGCCTCCGACCTATCTGTGTTCGATGTGGACATCTCATGTTCGATACAGGATTTGTTTCGTGGTCCTCCGATTGTGCCAAGTCAAATTCTTTTCGAGTTACAAAATTTTAGATCGCACGTGTTGGGCGCGCTAAAGAATCTCATCAGCGCTCCGCCTTCTCCACCAAGTCGGGTTGCTACAATACTGATAAACTGTGGGGGCACATTGGTCCAAATGGAGGAAAATGTCATCCCGCCCCTAGTGTTGGCTCTAGAAGACACAGACGGATCAAAGGAAGCCAACATCAAATCTCATGTCCGGGATCCCAATGATGGCGAGTCTAAAGTCATGAAAACACTTGACCTTGGTTCCAATTCCATAAACAGGTATGATGATGCTAATGGTGGGGACGCTAAGTCAACTTGTGAGCTTGATATTACATCTTGTGATTCTTCTGCACCACTCGCTTCATTGGGTGTTGTAGACATTTCAACAGATCAAGCCTTGGGTGCCAACCATCAACCCTTTGTTTTGGTTTTGTCTCACCCAATCACGATGCGTCACCATTTTGATATCCTCCACAAAGAGCATCTGATTTCAGTGCGGGCAACAAGACTCGTGCATGGCTCTATCTCATATTCCTCCCATCACATTCTAAGAAGCATGTTGGTTGAAAGTTGGCCAAGAAGTGGATTTCTTCTTTGGTTTTGCACCCTCTCTCCGGTCCAAAAGCACGAGTGGGAGCCTCCACCTTGAGGACAAGGTGGTTTTCTAAGGAGGTGAGAGTGTTATGGATAGTGAAGTATGATATTGAGTATTATTATTATTATGGTTATTATTATTATTATTATTATTATTATTACTATTATTGTAATTTAGGTTTTATTAGGTGAGCGAAATTATAAGCTCCTTCGAGGTTTCTTTACGGTTCTTTCCCTCGTCGCTTTTATTGAACCGTCAGGTTAGGTTTATGGTTAGATAGGGTTTCCTTATCTCCTATAAATAGAGATGTAACCTCATTTAGAAAATCAATGAATAAACAACTCAAACCCTAATTCCTTCTCCCCTCTCGGTTCGCTGATTCCCTCTTCGCCTCAATTCTTCTTCTTCTTCTTCGTCCCATATTCTCAAGAGCTCGAAGACGCTCCGAGTCTTCCCTATCCGATACGGAGTTCGTATCATGCACTCTGCCAATTAAGGTTGTCACTATATATTATGAATTTTTTTTTTATTATTTTTCAATAAATTTGTGAAGTCTTCCTTGGGGTGGGGGTGGGGTTGGAGGGAGTAATTTGGGAATATAGGGACCACGAAAATCTTATCTCATATCTCTCTCGAAATTCCTTCATCTACTTCATCGATTTACTCAACAGTAATATAATTACCTTCAGTCTTTTTTCTATTAAAACAAACAAACAAAAAAAAAAATCAGGTGTAAAATGGTGAATCATTGTTCAATTACCCGTTAGCCATAGATGCAATAAAAGCATATTCAGTTTTATAGGGGCAAACCTCTCCTACAGCCGGATATTCAAATGCATAGGGAATTTATCTTCTTCACGCTCCTGAACAAGACAAATGAATATATACATACATCAAATGTAAATTTCATCAAAAAAATTCCAGAAATCGCCCTACAGCATACCTTCAGATCTACATAAATTGGAATGCCAGCCAAGTTTCGCCGGCGCATCATCACATCAGAGTAATAGTGCTTTTCTGTTGCCCAGCCCTACATAGCTTACACCGAAGATTCTGACCTCAGATTGCCATCGTTTGGATGGTGGGAAAGAGGAGACAAGAAAATGTAAGCAAAGAAAACACATAAAAGAAGCATTTTTTATGCACAAAATGACATATCCTTGATTTTCTCTGACTCTCGGGTCTCATATATCTGAAATATACTACCAGGGTTCTTAAAATTAGTAGAAATGTACTCTTAAGGTAAGGATCCTAATAGTATATTTCAAATAATGTGAGACCCGAGAATTATTTTCAGAAAATTGAGAATTCTTCGAAATATATTTCAGATAATGTAGGATATGAGAGTCATTAACAGAAAATCGAAAGTACCCTTGAATAGTTTTTTGTTTTTTTATGTTTGTTTTGGAGAGAAAATGATGAATGTGAGAAAAACTAAGCATGGGTCCCACATAAAAAATTCTCACCAAAATAGAGTTAAATATACTTTTAGGCCATGTAAAATATGCGACTTTAGCTTTTGGTTCCTTTAAAAAAATTGTTAAGTCATCTTTATAAACTTTTTTGTTTTGAAAATAGCCCTTAAACTTAATTTACACTTCAAAATTTGTTGAGATAATACATTTATTCCGTATTAAAGATCTTAGTCTTGGAGTTCTACTACCTCCAACACAATTCATATCCCCTAAATTGTGTCCTTATCCAATTCATTTTTTTAGTTTCTTACATATGTATATTAAATGGAGATCAGATCTAATCAAATCAGAAATAACTTCAAATATAACTATAATCAGATCACATCTAATCAGATTCGATTAGATTAGTTCAGACGAGATCTTCAAAATAGAAAAAAGAGCGTACTGAACGCAACCTAATTTGAGTAGAAAAGCGAAATAAAGAGGGTCTTTGGGAGTGATAAAGTGTTTTAAAAGCTAAAAGTAAAGGGAGAAATACCAAAGTAGGACTAAAACATTGAAAATATACCAAAATAGGACTTCGATGTTTTTATTTCCAAAATAGGACTTACATTACCAAACATAGTCATATACATTACCAAAAAAGTATAGTAATTTGCACATGTACACTGCCATGCACATGTACACTGCCACATTACCACAATGCAAAGTCACATTACCACAGTGCAAAGTCCTATTCCGGGAAAAAAAACATGAAAGTCCTATTTTGGTACTTTTCTCTATGTTTTAGTCCTATTTAGGATGATTTCTAAAAAGTAAAAGAACCTTATATCTAATTGAGAAATTTACCTAAATAGGACTAAAACATAATGACTTTCCCAATATAGGACCATATATTTTTATTTCTCAATGTAGGACTTTTGGTCATTATTCAAGTAAATGTCTATCATTACTGGCTATTATTCCTCCCACAAGGTCATTATTAAGTCCTATTTAAGGAATAAAAAAGTTTAAGTCCTACATTAGAAAAGTCATTATGTTTTAGTCCTATTTAGTGCAAATTTCACTATCTAATTCTATTCAACGGTGTTCTATGTGTAAAATGATAGTGAAAAAACAAAAGCTGACATGCCAAACAACATAAAATAGCTATTGTTAAATATATTCTATATTTATGTTAAATATATATTCTATTTAATGTACACATATTGTTTCCTATTGTAGAATCCTACCATGATTAGGATTAGGAATAGCTTGTGTATATAAACACATGTACTCCCACATTATTGTTTAAGGAAAATCATAATTCTTCATGGTATCTGTTAGGGTGAACCGGGGGTCTTATCAAGTTGATAATTTAGTGGCGGATTTGCGGAGGAAAATGGAAGGGAAATAGTGGGCGAAAGTATGGAGGGTGTTTTAGGAGTTCCTTTTGGTATTTTATGGAAGAAAAGAATAGGATTAAGGATAAATGGAGGGATATGAAATGGAAGAAAAATCAGGGATGGATAAAACCAAGTTGGTGTTAAGAGATATTACACACTCTTATCCTAACTTGGGGTTTGAATCTAGAATTTAATTAAGATATGACACACTTAATCAAATATCTAGAACCTAAAACTCACACTTAAGATAACCACTCTTAAGATATAGAATTAGGAATTTGGCTAAAATAGCATCACACTATTTTAAGAATACTCAAAGAGTAAACAAAGTTTAATATTCAAGGGTTGTGTATTACAATGGCCATATGGCCGAATTTATAAGGGAGAAAAGGGAGAAGGGAAAC